TAAAGAAGAAATATGAATATATGATGGAACCTGGTAGTCTTTTTGTAGGCCAACGTTAAAATTTATTAATTAAGAAAGAATGATTTTCTTGTAATGGTAGTCGCATGAATGTACGACATTTTCTAAATTCTAATAATTTAAAGGTGAAACAATTAAGATAGACATGTCTTAGCGTATTCAATATGCGTGTACATAACTTTACCAAGTTCGTTTTCTGTAAGAATCTGTATTTTATTTCATTTCCTGGATAAATATTTCGAATGATTATTACGAGTTTGATCACGTAAATAAAATTAGGAAATAAAACAATTTAAGTTGGATTAAACATTTTATACTTGCAATACGATGGTCAGACCAAAAAGCGCTTAGGACGCATGTTATTTTCAACGGATAGTTTTAATTTTGTTTATGCAAGATTAATATTCCAATTACCAATTATATAGTTATTTACATTGTTGTTTGTAGATGAAGCAAGTACAAGAGAAAATAAATTTGAAAATTCTTGCAATAATGTGCAAAGATAAACCTTTTGTTTAGGACATGAAATTTCTGCCTTTTTTATGAAGGCAAATTAATTAAATTTAAACGTTGATGACACATTTTACGCCTGTTGCTGTTTTTTTTTTTTTTTTTTGTGTGTTGGGGAAAAATTCTTTCTGAAATTCAAACGTTCAATTTAACAATGACTGAACCGAGGATGACGAGTTTTTAAAAATGGAAAGCTTATTGCGATACTGTAAGTCCTATCAAATAAAACGGGTTGTCCAGTGGTTGACATTTTTTAAATATATAAACTCTATATGAACACTTAACTTAAGGAGTAGGAACATTAATTTCAATTATCTATAAATTTTTAAACGGAAAATTTAAGAAATTTAATGCTGTAAATCTTGTCAGTTCCGGATACCCAACGTTCATAACCTTAATATTTGATCTGGATAATGAGGTTGTATACAACAAAGAATCACTTGGTAACGCAATGCGGAGTTTTATGTTGTAATATAAAGATGAGAAACTGAATTAGAAAAATTAAATATTCTGTAAAACGTAACACTCACTACAACAATCTGTCCGTCCATAAATATTTATATACTCAATAGTATAAACGTTTTGTAGGTCGACTACCCACCATGCCTGTTGATTACCGATACGGTCCGTATGTGCACAAACAAAATCGTTAATCATCCAATCCTGCGTATATCCATCAACAGCATAGTCAGAATTACAACATACAAATCCTTCTGGCGGCTCATAAATTGAAGAAAAATTTGTAGGTTTCTTTAATGCAATATTTATATCTGAAAAGACTAAAAACAAACAAATACTCTTTAATATGAAAACGTATATACAATACATGATGCAAAATTTATCGACGACTAGTTTCAAAATTGAAAATCCCCAATAAATTGTTTTCGGTTTAAAGATCACCAACACAAAGCAATATTTTAGGTATTACTTGAACAAATCTTAAACAATATAAAACCTGAATATGGACAATTATCCTAGACGTTTCAATATAAGCTATAAAAACATTGCACAACCGATTTGCAAATTTTACAAAAGTTGATGGATATGTTTCATTTTAGACAGCTCATAAAAAGCCCTACACGCGTACCACCATCATCTAGTCCTATCATTGACCATTTAATCTGTAACAATGAAGAAAACATCTACAAATCGGGAGTTATTTCAGCAGACATAAGTGACTACTTCATCATATATAACGTCAAATATATGACAAAAATGGTGAGATTGTTAGTGATGAAAAAGTTGTTTACACAAATGGAAAACAGATTTTCAAAATATATATAATATGGATAATTCAGCGGACGATTTCGATGGTAATTTTCAAAGATATGCCTCTAATCATAAAGTCTTATTAGAAGAAAGAATGCTCGATCCTTTGTTTATTGAAAATGAAGATATGAATTCTGCTATAACTATAGATTAAATAAGACGACTTATCTCAATAACAAAAAACGGTAAATCGTGTGGAATTGACAATATCCCGTATGAAGTATTGAAGACAGAAAACGTTATCACCGTCCTACATTCTATGTTGCAACTAGTTTTTGACACAAGCATTGTACCATTATTATGGCATCAGGCCATAATCTGTCCGATAGTTAAAGACAAATCATCAGTTAAACGCATTCCACTACATTATCGAGGAATAAGTTTGTTGTCGTGTATTTCAAAGTTGTATTGTGGATTTGTAAACAATAGATTGTCTTCATATCTGGAGGATAATGATTTACTTCAGAGGAACAAAGCGGCTTTTGTAAAAATCGTTCGTGTGAAGATCATATATTCACCCTCAACAGCATAATAAAAAACAATCCAAATGTTATTGCCACATTCGTTGATCTAAAATAGGCTTTTGATTTTGTAGATCTAGATATGTTGCTGTACAAACTTTTGCTGAACAATATTGATGGGAAAATATGCAACTCTATTAAAAGTTTATATGTGCAAACAACCGCAAGTATTCGCTTAAACAATAAAATGTCCGATTGGTTTTCATGTAACTCTGGTAAAAAAACAAGGTGATAATTTAACTCCGACATTATTTTCTGCTTTAATTAATGATCTTGTAGATGAAATCAATGAACTTGGACTTGATATAAATATTGAAGAATCAAAATTGTCTTTACTTCTATATGCGGACGATATTGTTTTGATGACCGAGAATGAATGTGATATGCAAAAGATGCTTGATAAATGACACGATTGGTGCAAACAATGGAGAGTCTTAATAAATAAAGACATGTCAAAAGCTGTACATTTCAGACCTTCTCGTAAAAAAAGGAGTGAATTTCAGTTCAGAATCGGAGGAAACATTTGCAAATTACAGACAAATATAAATACCTTGGAGTTATTTTCAATGAGAAAAAAGACTATACGTCAAACGCTGAAAATCTTTCTACCGCTGGTGCAAGAGCACTCGGAGCTATTATATCGAAGATACACAGTTTAAAGGAATTTGGCAAAAAGACTTATGAAAAACTGTATGGTTCTTGTGTTGTGCCTATAATCGACTACTGTTCTTCAGTGTGGGGTTATAAAGACTTTAATTGTGTCGACACTGTTTAAAACAAGGCCATTAGATACTTTTTAGGAGTTCACAAGTTTGCTCCAAAGTTAGCTATCAACGGAGATGTTGGATGGTTATCGTCAAAAGAACGTCGCTGGTGTAATATGGTACGGTACTGGAACCGATTGATGGATATGGACAATACTAGACTTTGTAAAAAGGTGTTCCTATTGGACTACGAACTATGAAAGAACAATTGGTCATCTAGCGTAAGAACAATAATGTCTTTAGTTGGTATGGATGATAACTTTCAACAAATGGTAAAAAATGCTAACAGTGTCAGAAACAATCTTACGGATATCGATATATGTGCAACAAAATGGCATACAAATTTATCTAGCTTTCCGAAACTGCGTACATATAGAACCTTTAAATCTACATATTCAACAGAATCATATATTAAACTCAATCTAATATGTAGTGAAAGATCGGTACTGGCACAATTTAGATGTGGTATTCTTCCACTAACATTGGAAACAGGACGTTTTGTTGTTGAGCCAGAATAACAACGAGTTTGCAGAATGTGCAACTCCGGACACGTTGAAAATGAACTACACTTTATGGTTGAATGCCAATTTTACAATGGACTACGCAATCAAGTATTCTCTGGACTGAAACCGTATTGAACTTGAATAACAGTGAAAAGTTAAATTTATTATTGTCTGAATATCCTCGAAAAACGGCTCGATACTTAGAACAGTCATTAACAAAACGCAGACAACACTTATATTTAACAATTAACATGTAACTAATTAAATTCCTGATGTCAATCTGAATTAATACTAGTATCTATTTAAAGTGACTTATGGGTCCATTGGGCCGGGTGTAATTTAATTGAAATATTTCAATATTGTACATATTTTTGTTATACACAACGTCACTATAATAAACATATTTGTATTGTATTGTATCATCACCTTTTGTACTAGAAAGGCACACAAAGAGAAAACAAAGAAAGAAACAATAGTTAAAATTCTGCCAGCTAAATTATATTATAGTAAAGATATATTCAACGCTAAACTCAAAACAGTTGATTGGTCATCCTTCTATCTGTGTCGATAGTTTGAGAAGGACGGATGGGATCCATCTTTCAATTCATTTTTGATGATATTGCACCATACAGAGACATTAAGATGAGACAACAAACGGAACGATGGATAACTTCAGAAGGAGAGAAAAAAATCGTGAAATTTAAAAAGGCCAAAAGTAAACATCAGTACAAACTGAACAGTAGAATAAAAAAAGGAGGAGTTTATATTCGGTAAGGTCGAAGACAACAGCAAATCCCCTAAAATACTCTGGCAACAGCTAAATCTCTTGGATATTCTTACAAGCAGAGGAATGGATCAAGTATAGACCAGTTAGTATTATCTGTAATTCTTGAAAAGGCTATATATAAACATTTGGAGACACACTTGCTTGAAACATCATACGTTTATAGACACACTTGCTTGAAACATCATACGAACTACACAAGATCCAGCCATTTAAACTTTGTTGTTCCAAAAATCAAAGGGAAATATTTCTCATCATTCTTTTTCATGCAATAAAAATACAAATATAACATAACGCGTCTGTCTTTAAATTATCAGGCATCTGAATGTCATCCGTAATTTACAAAATAAGACATATTCGAACTTATTTCTAAGTACATATAATAAGAATGCTCCCTAAAATTCGACCAAGAAGCCTAATTCTAGACACATCACGATTTACACACATAGGGATTTGTGAATAGACATTTTTAAAGATATGTAGTTAAAGTGATGAAAGCATATTTTCTCGCTGTGTTAAAGACCCATTGGTGGCCTTGGGCTGTTTTCTGCTCTTTGATCGGGTTGTTGTCTCTTTGACACATTCCCCATTCCATTCTCAATTTTATATTTATAAAACAAAAATGGACAAATTGAATGTAATCATTTATTTCAATTATGAAAAATAGCAAATAATTATCCAAAAATAAACGGGAAAACCCCATATTTTTACAAAAATATCTACAGTAGCATACAAAATAAGAAAAACAGGAAAACTAAAGAGTAGGTACAACGAAGAGAATACAGGGATTCGAAACCTAAACCAACTTATACTATACGGTTGTCTATTATCTATACATAAAGGTGCAAGCCCTGTGTGTCCGTTGTATCGATGTGTATCATATGTTCATTTATATAAATAAACTAGACATTTAATATGCAACCCATTGGTAGCCGAGAGGTTTCGTCGATGTGTTGATGTCAGTCACACATAACAGATTTCAAGGAAGGGGTTCGATTCCCGGTGAAGGCATATACAAATTATAATATTTAAAGCTAAGTTTTTAAATTATTTTCATTAGTGAACAGAAATCAGTAAATTGACCAATTCAAACTTAAATAAATTATGCACGCAAAGGAAACAATTGAATACAATTTGGTGAGTCCATTTAAGCGACATATTTAGGAAGCGTTGATTCTAGAAAAAGAATCCACGGTAAATGTATAGGCTGACGTCGCGATAATGGTTTAATCGTTATTCGTTTTTACCATGGGATTGTGATTGTTTCTTCGACATATGAGTTTAAAATGTCCCGTTGGTATCTGATGAGTTTTTATTGTCCCGTTGTTATCTTATGAATTTTAAATGTCCCGTTTGGATCTTATGAGTTTTAAATATCCCGTTGGTATCTTATGAGTTTTAAATGTCCTGTTGGTATCTAATGAGTTTTAAATTTCCCGTTGGTATCTAATGAGTTTTAAATGTCCCGTTGGTATAGTTTGCCTTCTTTTTAATATACGTTATGCTGCAAAGGATGTTTAAATTAAAAGAGCTTAATTTAGTATCCCTAAACAATATATATGCGTTAAGAAAATAATACATTACCACAAGTAGTAAGTAAATATAAAACTCCTAACACATCTTTGTACAACATGATCACCTAGTGTTTTTCACTATAAAGTTTTAAAAGAATATCTCTTGAGAAATGAATTCAAAACAATCAATATTTTACTTTATTATACGGTGTTTTTATATTGATAGGTTTCTCGTTGACGTTTGGGCTCTGAATGTCCCTTTTGTAAACTCCGCCTCTTTTGTTTGCATATTAATTTGATAATGAAGTAGTCTTTCTTATTGATTACTCATTTTGTTCGAAACAATATATTTTGCTTTTCAATAGCCTTATACATTTTACATGCAGTCCATGACACAGACTGATTCATGGAGAAGAATATAGATTTCAAAAGATAAAGTGTTACATTTTTCAAAACAGCGTATTCTGTTTGATGATTTAATATGTTTTGTAAGTTTATTGTTTCATATAATATACCGCATCACAACAAATAGCTTCATTTTTGAAATAAAGCCTTGGTGAATATCACATCTCCGAGGTTGCTATGTCCTTTTCTTTGTATCTAGTTATACTTTCCCGACCTGTTGATATGACAGTTGTTTTCCATTCGTTTGATGTGTTTGAGCTTTTTATTTTTCCATTTAATAAAGGACTTTCAGTTTTGAATTTTCCTTGGAGTTCGGTATTTTTGTTATTTAAAGTTTTTATAACCAACGTTTGGATCGTTTCATTTGTCGAAGCCTTATTATGACGTCAGCATTTCTTGCTTTCTTCTGATTTTGTTATTGTAACGTAACGAAAAAAGCGACCATGTCTGAAGACGTCATATAGAAAAAGGACACCTTTTTTTATATCATTGCAAAAGGAAGATAAAGTTTGCTTACATATCGTCTTGAAATCGTCTTTAAAAGTTTAAAATGTTGGGCAAGCCTCGCGTTTTAAATTTGAAAATTTAACAGTCTTGAGTGAAAAAAAATCGAATAACATTAAAGGCAGTGGTAGAATCTATATCTCCTTAATTGTAATCTTTTTCTTGAACTATTATTATTTTTTTAATCAACGTGTGGTTTTTTTGATTTTCTTTCTTTCCTTTGAATTTTCTATTGCGAAGTCACGGCAAAATGACGACGTTATATTGAAATATCACAACTTTTTCAAGGTTATTGAAAAAGAAAGATTACGTTTGTCTACATATCGTCTCAAAATCATTAGAGAATCCAATGCCACCACTAAATCTCGGAAAGCTCGCGTTTTAAATGTGAAAATTTCTCGAGTAGAGAAACATCATATCACACTCGATATAGGGGTAAAATCTTTATTAATAAATCTCCTCACAATCGCATACTATACTGGATTTATACTAATTTAAAATGGCGTGGCAAGATGAAGTTGAAGCATTGCTATATTCGTCTGTAGTTATAGTAACTGTTGGTTTTGTCAATCTGCTACATTTAAAGTACTACAACTGGTTAATCTTAATAACAATATTTGATTTTTGTGGAAGTTGAAAATACATGTTTATATCAATGTCACCATATACATTGGTTTGTCTCGTTTGAATTCCTAATCAACATCTTGTCATGTTGTATTTTTTACGCTACATATACGGTATGGGTTTTGCTTATTGCTGTTGGTCAATCGGTGATCTAAAGCCTATATCCATGTCATTTGGACTCTGCTGGATAGTTGTCTCACTGGTAATCATACCATATCTTATTTTTACATGTAATTTTGTTTTACTATAAAAAACAAATGATCTTAAAAAATTTCTTAGAAGGTCAAGATTGGAAAAATCTGCCTTCTTTGCCATACGCCCCAAAAAGATTGCTTATAGTACACTTTACAATAAAAACTATTGACTCTAATAGTATGCATTACATTAACATGAGTATAGCATTGCAACAAAACAGTTGGTTGATAGTTTGTTAGTACACATTAGAGTAGTCAGTTTATATGCAAAACTTTGCATACACAAGCACACATGTATCTTTATAATCCTGTAATCTAAAGCCTAAATTTACATAAAGGCTTCAGATATTTCACTCACGCTTCCACCAATTTCTCCTAAATTTCCTGCCATTTCAAACGCATTTGACGCTAGCTTTAAACTACTGCTTAGCGATGACAGTGATGAGCTCCGTTTACCATTTGTAACTGGCGCCGAGGCAATTGGTGGATTGTGTCCTCCCGAAAAACCATTGTTTGTCATTCCAAATGGATGAGCTCCTTGAATAAAATATCTCAACTAGTAAATGCCTTTTAGACACTTTAAGTAGAAAAATAATTAACAAGACAAGATCTGCAAAAAGTCAAATGTTGCCGCAAATGTTAGTATTTACTCTTTCTTGGAGTATTTGCCCTTAAAAACGATTTATTTTTACCTTTTTTGTGTTTTGGACAAAAACTAAGAAGATAGAGAGAAACTGTAAACAACAAAAGTGATCAGAAATACAAAATAAACAAAAAGATAGGTTTTTGTCATAAATTCTATTTTTTCACTATGTTGGAGAATGTCCGTTGTTGAAGATGTACAAATACATAGGTGAGCGACACATGCTCTTTAGAACCTCTAGTTCATGATTAAGTACGAGTGTTAGTGTATGTTAACAATTTAATCGAAGATCTCTGTGCTGAACCTTAAACGTGCAGATGACACCTGTTAATCAAATCTAACGTGACACATTTAACCCCTTACCTAGGATTTGTTAGCTCACCTTGCCAAAAGCGCCATGTGACTCTTTCCATCACGTTGAGTCCGTCGTTCGTTATAACTTTTTAAAAATCTTCTCTGAAACTGTTTGGCGAATTGGAACTAAACTTAACGGGAATCGTCCTAGGGGTTTCTACTTATGCAAATGTCTCTAATTATTCGATTTGTTTATTCGTCCCTCTGTTGTTTGAAACCATGACACAATGTGTTCTTTCATTTATTGCATATTTATCATTGTAATATACATGTAAGAAACAATATTATCTTAAGATTGGGTTTTTTATTTTGCGTTATCGGTCTAATTCTTCAAACTTAAACTGAGAAATATGAGGTGCTAAATTTTGTTTCTAAAAATCATTCATACATAACACTCGGTAATCTAAGCTTTGAAATGTGATTTTCTTTACCCTTACTAACTTGCAATTATCTCATAAATTTGACGATCGTATCACGGCTCTTCCTTTTTAAATTTCTACAATTTAAAAATTTGTGGGGTTTGTTTAGTAGATATCTTAAAAATAAATATGCTTTCCTTAATGTTTTCATTACATTTTTTTTAATTTCTTCTTTTTTTCTAACAAGTTACAAAGATTTACACCTAGTCATGCATAAATTAAATGACAGCGTTTATGCTTACCAGGTGAAATGCAGTAAGGAGCGTAAGGCACTGTTGGCTGAAAAGTTGATATCACCTGTCCTCCACTCGGCCTTCTCGACCTACACCCATAACAACAGCAAGCTACAACCAGCACAATAAACACAATACCACCTCCAGTCATGCCATAATAAGCTCCATTGGACCTAAAGAGACAGGAATTATTGATTCTTATTTAAGGCTATTCTTTCGCTTTGTAAACAATGTCATTATCTAATTCCAAGAAGTACCTTACTGGTCCGCTTCGAAGTACAAGAGTTCTTAATTTTCTAATTTGAATGTCAACGCATTGACGAATGTAATGACTACCAATGTTGAATGGACATAGAGGATGACATGAAATAAAGTTGTTTGTTTTCTTTGACAAATCAGCTGTCATTAAAAAACGGAATTAGACAATTTAGACATGCAAAAGTGGGCAATTAACTAAGGTACAAGATAGGCTTCCAAAGCCACACACACGATAAACTTCCTTCACGAGCTCTTTGGAATTGAATATTTTAACATTTTGACATGTTAATATAGATCTTCAGATGAATTTCATCTCGTTGACAGTTTTCTGGTTCATTACAGGAATAAGTTCGATTCTTTACTTATTACTTGCGACCCAGAGACACTGTCGTCATGGACAATTGTGGCTTTCACCAAGTTGAACGTACTAGATTCGCCGAAAATACCATTTCTCGCTAACTGCTTGAACTTATTCAGGAAGAAACGGGTTAATATCATATTCTCTAACATATATTTAATTAAAAAAAAATTGACTTTATAGTTTTTAAAGACTGAAAAAACCGAACTCGGTTTTGAGATTTTTTTTCAATATCATACATGATCGGTTAGTAATTTAATGGATTGCCCCTATAAAAAAAGGTGCATGTAGGACCCTGTATTTGTTTCTTTCTAAGTGTCAAATTCTAAAAATTTAAAATCTTACTGAAATTAAATATTAAAGTCTGTTTTATATACTTAACACGTTTTCAACATATGTCCATACAGGTATCGTTAATGTGTTATTCAACAGATCATGGTGCTATTGCAAGCATTGTATTAAAAATATCATTGTACATGTTCTTTTCTTAAATTATTGAATTATTTAATTATGAATCGAATGTCATCGCTAAACATGAGTAATTGTATCCGACTTATGCAAAAACTTGGATGGAGAGTTGTCTCATTGTCACTCGTAACCACATCTTCCTATATCTATTTATAATATCTGGCCTTACTTCCATCAAAAATTTCGGTTGGGTGAAGGATATCCGTTTTTATACATTTGATTTATAAAAACTTAACGTTGGCCAAAGTCTGTCAAAATTGCGGATTTAGGCTATGTAGAGGCGTTTATAATATTGAGATACGAAACAATAGTGGGAGATATTATGCAAATAATTGTGCAAATCGTAATAGAAGCATAAAATTTGGTATAGAGGTTTACTAAATGATAATAAAAAAATAACAGCTGCTTGCCATAAAAAAAATCATTTTTTCGAGATGGCCACCGCTCATTTTGCAAATGGCGTCATTTCAAATTGGCTACATTTCGTGAATCCTTTGAAAGCTGTGTTGTAAATAAAATCCAATGTAAGTTTTGATAAAAAATAACTTACAGTTCCTAAATTACGATAAGACAATGCATTAACGAAGATAAAAGTTACTTACGGTTCTAAAATGTCGGCCAAAACGGCAAAAATGTCAATTTTTTTCCATTTTCATCAATTTAACAAGACATATCACTTACTTTGTTCAGTTCAAATGCCTAGTTTGGTTAAAAAAACAGGTTGCTTTATCTAATAATTATCTAACTGACAATTGCATGTACACAAATCCGAACAAGGAAGGCCAAAAACGGTAGCATTTACAGTTACCCACACAGCTGGATTTCTTGCATCCGCATTTCAAAAGTTTCTGACACGAGGATGCGACGACAGGCAAGGAAGCCCATTTTGGTTTCCAACTGTCATTGTCTTTTTCTTTCATCCAAACCCAGTGTTCAGGACTTGGTACCTGTTGATTGCTTATATCCGTTTGAGCCCAAACATATCCGCCTTGAGCACCCCTGGTAGGCGGAATAGCATCATAAGGCCGCTGCTTCCTGGCAAACAATTCAAATCGTGCCTTGTTGAAAGCAAATGTTGTTGTTGTTCTGTCATATGATGCAACAAATGCTTCTATGTTGTCCATGTCTGTCTCTTCAATAGAGTTTGGTCTCAAACTCAAGCGGACAAAAAACGTCCGTTACGTCTGGAAATACTTCCCATGTCTTCCAAGCTGAGTTCTTCCCTTTCCCACGAAATGCCGACACAGTGTCACATCAACTGAATGCATGGAAGAAAGGAAGAAAAGCTACACAAGGACCTAACGCATATAATATGTCATGTACAGGTAGCCACAGAAAGTCTTCATTCCTTCCAAAACGTATCCACAATTTGTCCACACCTCATTTTTTGATTGCTGCAATTACTAATACTACTACATTCGTGTCAGTACTTAAAATTACTTCTTTACAACCATTCACAGCAGCATGCTTAACATGGACAAACATTCAAGATTTCAAGAAAATAGCTGGGAAGTATCCGTATTGAAATTCCAAAGAACATTTTCACCTTGAGTAACATAAACATAATTATCAGTTTCTAAAGAAGGAATTTCTATCGGCCAGAAACTTGAACAATTCCGTTTTGTTGTCATCTTTACGGGGAAAGCAAATCCAAACCCTTGGCGTTCTACCAGAACCGACAACTTTCCGTCTAGCACCAGCACCGCGCTTTTTTTCTCATCACAGCCTTTAAACTATTCTTTAAGTAAACGTCAAATATAACGTCTACTCTTGAATACCTATCGGTACAAGATTTTATGTAAGGCAGTATGAAATCATTTGCATAATCATCATATGCTTTTGCCCCACGTGGTGACCTGGAATTTACCATTGCTGCCCCATCAACAACAAAGGCGTCAGACTGTTGATCAGTTGATAGCAAATCGCAGAATGATTCACGTATATCCATTAGCTGCGATTTAATACCCCTGTTTAAAGTGCCAACCTGAGACAAGGACGGTGGAGAAGTTTTTGGTTTTCATGGCTAAAGAAATCTTCCAAGTCACACTGTCTACTTTGACATGAAATGAAAAGTCTAGAAAAGAGATCGCAATCGCTTTACAGGTTCCTTAGCTTTGTTTTTGACAAAGACGTTTCCAGTTTCGTTTTACGCCTAAATAGTGTGAAATTGTTCTTTTTTATCGGGTCATAAAAAGCAGATTATCCTGCGTTTTGCATTTGTTTCAAAAGATCTTCGTATTTTTTGGACTCAATATCTTGAAGTCTACATATCTTACCTGCTTCCGAATCAACAATTTCCTTAGAGTCAATTTTGAACAAATCAGATGACTCCTCTAGAAATGGATTTTCCAAACTCTTTCATCACCTTAGAAACCTTTTGAACCTTTTCGAAGAAATCCTTTTGTGTTTTCATGGTGTCGTTCATCTGTTGTAGAATGACTCAAACCACTAGATTTTTCAAATTCATCTACCAGTCTACTAATTTCTGTTCCATCGTCTCAAAGCTGAGGGATCGTCGATTAAACCTACCATCGCCCTTCACAATTTCATTATTCTATTCATGTGCCTGATCTTTTGCGATATTAGAAAAAAACTTTCTGGTCTTACGTGCAGTGAAAATACCATTTGCAAATTCCACTGCAACCTGTGGGTGATGTTCGTGAAGGGAAGCCATATCTCGGAGATGGATCGGTAACCATCGAGCATAATTTACACCATCAACACCAAAAAAATACGGTATCATGTTTGATATTGACTGTTTGTAAAGAACGAAATCTGACTCACGAAATGAGCGTACTATCGAAAGAAGTTCTAAATTAAAAATTGAACGCCAGAAATTAAACTGTGGTCAGGATGACTCTCTTTCCTTATACCAGTCTATCAAATTGTCGAACGTCACAGAGTCATCAGCTATATTTTCTGCGTTTATGCTTTCATAAGCCGACATTACCAATTCAAACAAAACACAGGCAGTTATCTGATTCGCGTGTCTAGTCCTAAGTACATTTGAACATACAAGAAAAGAATCTGCCGTTCCAGATGTTGCAATATCAGCCAATCAACTATCACGCAAAATGTCACCCAGAATAAAACAAGCCATTAACTTCAATGTGCAATCCACCAAACATGACGATAAACTAATCTTCTCCGTAAACATCTGGCCATTTCCACTGAATTTGCTTTGCCAAAACAAAAAGTGGCTAATCTGCAGTTATATTTGGTGTTTGTCCGGGATTAAGAAAATTAACTACTTCTTTCACCTTATTCATCGACTAATTGATCATTGCAACTGAAAAGGTTTGTTTCTCAAACAGTGGCATCAAAGAAGTCAAACTTACTTGAACAGAAGGGCCTCGCTTTTCAGAGGAATGAAATGACGACCAAGATATGTTTTCGAAATCCAAATCCTCGTCTGTTATATAAACTACGTTTATCCATTCATATTCACATTGGAGGCTTTCTTCAAGATAATCATGATCTGGCAATTTACGTATGGTATTAGGAGTATTTGAAGGTGTAGGTTTAGTTTTTAAGTAGGCAGGTCTAATATTGACGTATGAAGAGAAGATACTTGCCTTGAAGTTGGTCTATTTCCAAGAATTAAGTCTCCAAGTTCAATCCCACCATTGTCTTCTGACGGGTGCTGAAAATAGAACTAACAGTCCCATGAAAGGATGATTTTGCAGTTGTTGATATACGGTTTTGATCAATAGTGTCAACAGCCGCTGTAGTGAAAACCCCTTTTTTAAAGAGGTGGACATACTAAACCTTCCGACAAAAAGCGATCAACCACAGCCTCTCCTAGTTGAGTTGATATTTCTAATACCCGGTGATATGAAATACATAAACCATACTGAAATAAGGTATCGATCAATTGACGCTTCCTGGTCCTGGCAAAAATTAGAAGGCCGATATAGATACAAAAAATGAGGTTCACGATCTACTGTATGCCGCTGTTGTTCTGATACTTTCGGTGTTTTTGCATGATAGTTGTACATTATCAGCTGAGCAATGACTAGATCTGACTTGCATTCACTGTTCTCTGACGGGGATTGAATATCAGGGCCATGTTCAATCATGCACACTAGT